GTTGTCTCTATTAAAAATAATTTTAGTTGCCTTTTTGTAGTGCAACTAAAAACCCTATTCCTTTTAGTAATAGTTTAAAACTTATTTCTTAATTGGAATAGCCATCTATTCCTATTTGGAATAGATATTCCCTTTTTCCCAAACAAGCATTAATGGTATTTAATCATTATTATTAATTAATTAATTATCTAATATATATATATATATATTAATTCTAATAATAATTTATTTATAAACATATTTACACCAATAATTATATAAATAAATATGTAACCTTACGAATCAAATTCCAATATAAAATTGGACATGGGCAACAACCTTTCAGTAAATTTAATTGCATTGTAAGATTACCAAAATACTATTTCATCATAAAATGACAAAACCGTCATTTTATTTAATCTTCCTTAAATTGTCTTCTAAGTGTATGACTCATAGGCTCCTTATCATATTGGCAGTAAGTAATATATTATGATTAGCACTCTATTAATCGCCTCATTACACACAAACCAAGATTGGCCTCTACCAAGACATCATGACCACCCAATAGATTCGGATTTAGCGAAACAACTACCTATCAACGGTATGGTTACTATGTAATTTAATCATTTCATCATCTCTTATCTCATCAAGGTTTGAAGCACATAATTAGTGTTAGCTTCAAGTATGAATCTCCTTGACATATTTGTATTCGGTCATCGAACCAACGACCAAATGAGCAATAATTCGATTCCACATGGCCACAAATTTAAGGTCATTGCCTTTTACCCAATATCTCACCAAGATAATTTATCCTGTACTCAGGAGTGATGAATCCTTTGTCGACCCAGCATAGCCATAGTATGTTTCTTAATATAGTCAATTACTACCATATTGATAACCCTATATAGGATTACGTTTGGCTAGTGTCAACCTACACCAATATTTACACACGATACTCTGATGATCTCAAGTCTAAAGATCATATGCACCACCATTCGTTAAAGGATGTATTCCATAGACACTAAGGTTACCATTTATATAGAATCCTCTAAATGGGTCAGTCCAATGAACTCATGAATAACAAGCACACATGCATCGTACCCATGTGTCGCACCAAGTTGTCACCAAACAACTTTGACATGCGAGATATGTCACTACCTTTTGGTTGGGACGTTCAATGCTATGATAGTTTTACCATATTATCTATGCCCTCAGTCATAATAATACTAGGACTATAGAGTTTCTAGAATGGTCACCATAAGTGCTCATAAGTATCTCACAATCAAGACTTACAACCACTTGATTCTCTCTTCACGGTTTCACCACTCTAAGGACATATATATAATATGATTTATATAATATAAATAATGCCTTTTATTAATAGAATAACACAATACATAGAGTCATTTTACAATATTTAATTGGCTTTAGAGCACTTACTCTAATAGAATGAGGAATTGAAATATGTAACTGGGTTTTGCAATTTTAGTGACCCGGTTTGGGCCCCGAGCCGGTTGTACCGAAGGTTTGCTACTGTTCTGCGGGTCCAACTGCAGTCACTCCAAGTTAACTGATATAGTAAGGTTTATCTTTGGTGCGGATCGATGAAGGCCTCTGTTCCTAGTTCGACCGCTCGAACCAGCCGAGCCGAACTTGACTTCAAAACATTGGTGAGAAGGCACATGCATACTTGCACTTGTTGCGCAAATTGCACATGTTGGCTAGTTAAAAATATTGTTGGATTAGGCTCATTATCAAAGCCCAAGTATAGCCCAAGAAGTGAGTTGGCTCAAGCTCTTTAAAGAAGTGTGGAGATTTAGTCAAGTGAAATATGTGGCAATAGTTCGCTCTTGAAGGCTATAATAAGGGGCATTGGTTAGAGTTTTATGCATCCCAAAGAAAAAGAGAAGAATATCCAAAGGAGAAGAAAATTAGAAAGGTTTGTGTTAAACTTTGAGTTAGAGAATTTGTATCGAAAATTCTCTTGGGTGTAATTATTTTTTTATTTTTGGGTGCGAGAAAGTTACTGAGAGTGTGAGTAATTGAAATTTTTTTCATATAGTGAATTTTTTCAGGTTGTCTTTCGCAACGAGAGTGGTTTTTTCTCCGATTTGGAGTTTTCACTTAATTTTTGTGTTGTGAGATTGTGTTCTTAATTCTCTAATTTCTATTTCTCTATATTGTGCGACATTTATTCCTAACAGAATTGAAGTCATCATTCTTTAGATAGTTGTTGAATTTTTCGACAGATGCAGTAGTAAATGTGGGAGAAAATACATATGGCTAGATTATACGTTTATGGAAGAAATTTTTCAACAATTTTCTTTTTTTTTATTTTTTTTTTCCTCTTAGGAAAAATTGTTAAATTTGAGAAGATTTAATGAAGCTTACGAATGCGAAATGCCTAACTGATCTGAGCTGCAAGGACAGGCAAAAAATATATTCTCGCTATACATGAACATTCTTTCATCTATTATAATTATTAATATAATTAAAGATTTGGAAAATTAATATATATTTATTAATTATTGTATAAATGATATGATACCAATTGTAGTATGGAGTATGGACTCTCTCTTCCCTAACATTACCCTAGATCTAGCATTGAATGAATTAAATAAATAGTTGGACCAGATGCAGTGTTAGTGAAACTCCAAACTGCCTTGGTAATTCTAGATCCAGTCATAATCATTTACCACGTCAACCCTTCAGCCGCGTAACTTTATAATTTAATATGTCCACCAGCATAACACCCGGTGTGCCATGAATAGCCGGCCAGCCTTCATCTCTGGCTTTTACTTCGACCTAGTCTGAGAAATCGACTACTTTCAATTGAAAAATCAAAATTATACCACATTGACCGCAGCTTGATGTGACCATGCCAACTACCATCACTTTTTTCAAGTGTTCCTCGTTTTGCAGTTGCATCATTTCCAACTGCTTAACATACAATCATGCAATCAACTACAGATGTAAAATATCGATAAATTTACTTTCTATGTTTATAGTTGCACTACTTTGCTTTTGTTTATTGTTCTAAAACCAATTAAGTTCCGCATGTTATAAACGATGCTCTTTCTCATTGTTCGTGATGGGATTTGAAGTCACCAAAAATGTTTAATTAGAATTTCAACATTGCCTAAGTTCCACAATGAACTTTTTCACCGGATCTCGTCTAAAAATAATAAAATATTTGAACACATGTTGCTTATAAAAGAAGTAACATTCTTGAAAGCTCTCTCTCGCTTTGAACCAAAAACAAATTATTCAAAGTCATGCCATAAGTAACCCTAGAAGCTAATAACTTATGAATGCTGATAGTAATAAAGAGCTTCTCGAGATTAGGCTAAATGTCCCTATCTATAAGAAAATGACTCAAGTTCCGAGGATCTATGTATTTTATATAAAGTGAGAGAGAGACCATAAATGAGGGTTTTCGGATAGATGAATATGAGGCCATAAATATTACCGCATATGAAGCAAATTGAACATTTGTGGCATTGGCAGACAAACCCTAGTATTTTAATGTTCTTGATTCAATTAAAGATAACAAAGCCTATTCTTTTTCCTGAAATTGATAATGTTTATTTGATTGGAACTTTTGATAATGAAGAAGAAGCAACCCAACTTCTGTCTTATCCGACAGCTAGGTTGGCTGAGAAGGAAGTTTAACCAACACCAAAACTTTAAGCAAGTGCGTGTCTCTGATGCAAATTGCACATTGTCTTCAATATCATACCAAAACCTCAGCTGCTAACAGTAAAACGGTGCTTTCCGCCCGAAAACTGATGTTCAAATTTCAAATATGTAGCTTTCAGGTCAAATTGGTTGCATTCAAGCTAAAGCAGAGCATCACACATCTGGTGCAAAAAATTTTAAAAGACAATAGTGTTCGATAAAACAATCAATTGACAGAAGCCCAAATTATACAGACTTAATGAAATTGATTCATATTGATTTTGTGTTGATTATAGTATTTGGCAAATGATACAACAGCATGAAAGTGCTTAAAATAATTTATAATAGCCAATCAATTTAACCAAGAAAACTTGAAAAACAGTTAACAAGAATTTAAGGTAACAGATTAATTGTGTTGACTCTAAACCCACGTTGGTACTGGGAGAGCAGCCGCAATTTTTAACACAACCAAATATCAAGGAAAACTGAATTGTTTCGTTTGGGGGCTTTAGAAGTAATTGAAAATATAATTGCTGAGTAAAAATCAACAAAAGCCAACTCACGTGTGGGTAGTGAACAAATTTTCTTCATTAAATATGGAGTTTATTACACCTAATCTAAACACCAAACTGTTAGGTGTTGTTTTGTGTAGTATGGTAGGAATTCAACTTCACCCATCAGAGAAACATACCTTTTCCAATGATGTATATCCCTGGTTCGTAAAGCAAACAATTTGGGAACAAAAGGTAAACTAAGAATTACAAGATGATTGAGCAGGGGAAAAAGGGGGAAATGTATTAGCCAGCCCAAATTGATGAATGATTTAGTTGAGCTTGGTTCAATTATATCACTCCCAATGGTTTTCTACAAAAAGAAACTCGGAGTCCTTCAATAAGGTAGCTCTCTTCTGATTATGACCAAATTGGTCATTAATGACTCAATGCTTATCAAGAAAAATGATGCGTGGAACCACTCAAAAATTCAATTTCCTAATGGCATTTAAAAATTTGAAGTTGTAAAGAAAGGGAAATAAAAGTGAGAATCAACGACCAGTTTCAATCCATTAAATTATTAAATTACAAATTCAATTATTCAGATTTCAGCAAAATAAGATACAGGTAATCAAATTTCTCAAGATCTAGATGCACCACTTTCATTTTTCAAAATCTTAAAAAATACAAAACATGTTCACCTCTGAAATTAATGGAGGAAATTGCAAGAGGATTGAACCAAATAAACAAATCTGAAACCAAATACATACAAATCTGAAACCAAATACATAATAATCATATACATATTATGCAGCAAAAGGAATAATATAGCAAAAAACATACACAATTTAGTGGAACAAATAGGGATGTATTGAAAAAAAATGAATGGGAGAACTTTTTCTCCCAAATAAATCACATTGCTGTGAATATGTGAATGAGTCTGGTTTGTGTTCAAAGTGCATCAAACAATGACATAAGGTTACACACAGGGGAAAGTGAGAGAGAATTTATTCTCTTAAACCACCCCCAAAAGAGAAAAAGAGCATATATCTATACAATCAAAACCCATTTCTTTAACCCAATCCTCTTCTTCCCTTCCATCAAAATCTAATGAAAATAGAAAAAATAAAGCTTTAAAGCAAGGAATAAAGTAAAAAGGAGGCGCACCCGTGTTTATGAAATCCAAAATGAAACATTATTCACTTAGCATCAATGAGTTGTGACTTTAGATCTCTTCTTTGCCTCACTGTAAAGCACCACACCCATGATTGTTACAGCAAATCCAGTAATTCCCATAACTGTCACCGGATTTCTAAAAATCAAGACTGAAACAACTGCCGCAACAGCCGCCTTGGCATTGCCAAGTACCTGCAAAGTTAATGCACTTGTATGCTTTGTGACCAAAAAATTTGTCAAATTCACCAAATAAGCCACCGTAGCATTCCCAATTAACAAGAAAACAATATACGGATCTCCTCTAGCTTTCTCCAATGTAATGGAAGCCACATTCCCTTCTATATAAAGTGTAAATGGAAGCAAGATCATAGCAGCCATGGGTGCCATATAAAGTAACAAATTCATTGAATGCAATTTCTCAGCTTCTGATGTTAACAAAATCCCTTGAACCACAGATTTTAAAGCACGCCCAGCTGTAGATCCAATACAAACCAAAAATCCGAATAAATGAAACAAGGGTTCACTGTTACTAGCCAAAACTATGCCAAACACAACAGGCATCAAAGCACAATAAACTTCGGCAGATTCCTTCTTGCAAGTAATCAAAAAAGCAAAAATTGCGGTGAAAAACGGCGTCGTAGCACCAATGGCTTGATTAAACGAAACAGGTATGTACCTAAGTGAAGTGTTGCCGCACACAACAGAGAAACAAAAGATGGCACTCAATGCAAAGATTTTCATAAACTGTTTTCTAGATAAAATATGCTGTAGCGGAACCAGCTCAAGAAAGTTTATTGCCACATAACTATAAATAGCACAAGCTATCATATGAATCATTGTAAGAAAGATTGGGTAACGGAAACCGTAGAAGCTGAGTAAGTACTTGTTGAGGAGAAGCACCCCAATGTTTGAAAAGTACCATGATGCGATAGTCAGAGCCGTTAAAGCAGTTGGAGAAACGTACGAAAACGATCCAACGTTGCTGTTACGTACATCACCGGGCGGAGTTGCCGGCATATCCAAGAGTTGATGATCCACCGTTGAATCCGATAACCTCGGGTTGCTCATTCTCCGTGTTGTCCATGTCTGTGCCTCAACCATTGATCAAGGGCAAATTTGGAATTTTCTTGCTCAAACTTTCTCTCTCTAAAACCGGAACAAAAATCACAGAGAGAGAGAGAGAGAGAGAGATACGAGAAAGTGTTAAGTATGAGTGGGTTGGTGTTTAGATCTGGAAGTAGAAAAAGGAGTTGTGGGGGATGAGGATGTGTTAAGGAAGAATGATGGATCTGATCTAACGGTGGAGATTTAGATTTGATTAGGGAGAGAGAAATAAAAGCGTTGGATGGAAAACATTAGTTTGAAGTATGAGTTTGAGTTGTGTCGGTTGTGTGACTGTGGTCTGACTGGATATTATGTTATTGTTATGTCTTCATGTTTGACTGAGTGTATAATCCAAAAATTGTTTGTAACTCTCTTTTATAAAATCTCCAAATTAAAGGGCTATTTTTATTGGGCGGAAAGAAAATGATTTGGTAGCAGGTCAGTCATTAATATACCCCTGAATTATCATGAAATTATAAATTTCCCCCTTAACTATCTGAAATAATAATTTACCTTTATAGTAACCGATCTGTTAGTGTTTTCGTCCTCTAACCAATTCATTTTGCACTTAATCCATTAAATTAAATAATAAAACCCTAATGGTTTACTAACACCAAGGATAAATTGTTATTCTTGATACCTAAGAGAGAATTTTGTTATTTTATGATACCTGAGAAAATAAAAAATAAAAAACTCTAATTTAAAAACTAATTTTCCAATTTCAAAATTGGTTAAGAAAACTTGACAAACCAAACATCTCTTCCAATTTTTTTTATATGTGTTTTTAATTTTTAAAATTCATGTAATACTTATGTGAAAATGTCATGAAGTTAATTTTATTAGATTAATAATTCATTCTTATTTTTCAAATGTAGAGATATATATCCATAGTCAAATTCTACACTAAAAGAAAAAGATCTCGAATATTTTGAATGATTTTGCGATGATTTATGAAGAAATAACAGGTTATTTGCACTTTTATCCTTAAGGTTTGGATTATATTTACTTACCTCTAGTATTATGATCCATGAATAGTTTGGTTCAAGCAAATGAAACTTTTCAATAAAAAGTCTATAATACTCATGTTGTTTTATTCACATATTACTAAAAATAAATAAAAGATAAAAAGTATATTATACACCTAAAAAAATAATTTTTTCATAAGAGTAATGGTTGATATCCAAATATAATATGAATCATTTAAAGCATATTATAAAACCTGCTTAATTTCATAATCATGAAATTATTAAAACATCACCTAAATATCACTCCTCATAATTATAAATATAAATTCTTCAGAGCAAAACCCAATTAACAACATAAAAAATTTGAAACATCTAACTTTTTACTTTTTTTAATATTTTATTTATTTATAATAACATTTTTATAAGACAATAGAGGTATTATTCTCGTTTGATTGGACTAAATTTTTGTATTTTATAGTGCTTGAGGTAAGTGCAATATACTTCAAATCTTAAGGATGAAAGTGTAAATAACATAGAAGTATCTATATGATTTAGATTGAAAATAACTAACCATAAAATTGAAAAAAAACATATATATTAAAAATATTTGTCAAAGAGTTCAAAAACTAATTTTGTAAATTTTTCGTATGAATTGATGTACGAGGTATATACAATTTATATACAATGTCTGTAGAGGTATACAATTTATATATCTATATAATCTTGAAGCACACCCTCTCTATTGATCGACATTTAGACTCCATGTAAGATTCTACGTAGGATACCATAGAGAATCTTAAGAGCTCTATTAATATATGATTGCCATGTAGGATTTCAGTTACAGCTCTAGAATTACTATTTATTAGTATTAATAGCACATATTGGACATCCAATGGTCTAATTAAAAGATATATAAACTTATGTTAGTCCCTTTACATTCACCTAAACATTAATAACAATTAAATATCTCAAGAAAACTTTTTTTATATGTAAATTGTTATTTATTAGTATTAATAGCACATATTAGGCATCCAAATGTCTAATTAAAAGATATTTAGATTCATGTTAGTTCCTTCACATTCCCATAAATATTAATAATAACTAAATTATGGCATCCCAAAGTCTCAAGAAAACTTTGTTTATATGTATAGATTAAATATTCAATTTTGCATATATTTTGAATTCAAATTTGAATTGATTTTGCTTCTGCTTCTAGAGATTGTTCAATGTAGAAGAATTGGCTTTGTACAACGGAATTGATGACTCGAGACCGATTCTCTAAGGTATTCTTGGGTATTAACTTTTATTCTCTGTTATATGTGATTTCACCTATAAGAACTAGCTTAGCAGTTACTTATTTTGATTTTTATTTGGTTGTGCTTTTGAATCAGATTGATGTTCGATGTAACAAATAGGAAATCTCATTATGGTGTGGGAGAAGGTTACCATCATTTTGTTGGAAGGTTTGTGGTTTGTTCTTCCACTTAAATGCTATTCTTTTGTTTCTAACTAAGTTGTACATAGAAATTTGAGCATCTTCAAAGTTCTTCAAAGAGCCTAAAATGTTGTTGGATTCATTGTATTTTATAAATTATGCCTCTAGACCTGCTTTGATAGCTTTTTATTTTCCTTGCAAACTCAAAGATGCTTTTTCGTGCATTTGTTTCAGGAAACTTTACAGGTACAAATGGTCAATTGTTATCGTTATTTTACGTTTTAGTTTTAATGTTTTTGATCACTTCTATGTAGGTATCAAGTGCACATTTGCTATGACCTTCTCCTCATCCATGTTAGTTGTAGAATATTACCTTCTTAAACGTTTTCCTGTCCCTTACGGTAAGCAAACCACTGGCACCCAAATTGCACAATTACTTTTACTTCTATAATTTCTAAACATCAGAAAAACACATTTCCAAAGAAACGCGCAATGTGATTTGGATCTAGATGTTGGATCTATGGTTTATCTAATTTAAATTGATTTTTTACTTTCTTTGGCAGCTCTCTACTTTGTTGTTGTGGCTACCACTGTTGATTTAATTGGGCAGCATATTGTGAGAAAATTATAACGCCCAACATGGAGGTGCATGATTTAAATTATGTTTTATAACCCTTAGTTAATTTTTGTTAGAATTATTTTAAGAGAATATGAAGAAAATGCCTTAAACTTGTATTAAGGGTAAAATTGTCTTTTCACTCAAAATTAGTTAAAATTGTGGGAAGTGAAAAGAGATAGAATTTCATAGAGAATACAATAAAAATGAGGGCATTATGGTAATTGACTAAGGGACAAGGATGGAATTTCCAAAAAAGTGTAAGGGAAAAATGGGAAAGCATAGTTATAAAATAAGNAAAGAGTTCAAAAACTAATTTTGTAAATTTTTCGTATGAATTGATGTACGAGGTATATACAATTTATATACAATGTCTGTAGAGGTATACAATTTATATATCTATATAATCTTGAAGTGCACCCTCTCTATTGATCATCATTTAGACTTTATGTAAGATTCTACGTAGGATACCACATAGAATCTTAAGAGCTCTATTAATATATGATTATCATGTAGGATTTCAGTTGCAGCTCTAGAATTACTATTTATTAGTATTAATAGCACATATTGAGCATCCAATGGTCTAATTAAAATATGTATAGATTCATGTTAGTCCCTTTACATTCACCTAAATATTAATAACAATTAAATATCTCAAGAAAACTTTTTTTATATGTAAATTGTTATTTATTAATATTAATAGCACATATTAGACATCCAAATGTCTAATTAAAAGATATATAGATTCATGTTAGTCCCTTCACATTCACATAAATATTAATAATAATTAAATTGTGGCATCACAAAGTCTCAAGAAAACTTTGTTTATATGTATAGATTAAATATTCATTTTTGCATATATTTTGAATTCAAATTTGAATTGATTTTGCTTCTGCTTCTAGAGATTGTTCAGTGTAGAAGAATTGGCTTTGTACAACGGAATTGATGACTCGAGACCGATTCTCTAAGGCATTCTTGGGTATTAACCTTTATTCTCTGTTATATGTGATTTCACCTATAAGAACTAGCTTAGCAGTTACTTATTTTGATTTTTATTTGGATGTGCTTTTGAATCAGATTGATGTTCGATGTAACAAATGGGAAATCTCATTATGGTGTGGGAGGAGGTTACCATCATTTTGCTAGAAGGTTTGTAGTTTGTTCTTCCACTTAAATGCTATTCTTTTGTTTCTAACAAAGTTGTACATAAAAATTTGAGCACCTTCAAAGTTCTTCAAAGAGCCTAAAATGTTGTTGGATTCATTGTATTTTATAAATTATGTCTCTAGACCTGCTCTGATAGCTTTTTATTTTCCTTGCAAACTCAAAGATGCTTTGTCGTGCATTTGTTTCAGGAAACTTTACAGGTATAAATGGTCAATTGTTATCTTTATTTTATGTTTTAGTTTTAATCTTTTTGATGACTTCTATGCAGGTATCAAGTGCACATTTGCTATGACATTTTCCTCATCCATGTTAGTCGTAGAATATTACCTTCTGAAATGTTTTCCTGTCCCTTACTATAAGCGAACCACTGGCACCCAAAATTGCATAATTATTTTTACTTCTATAATTTCTAAACATCAGAAAAACACATTTCCAAAGAAACACGTAATGTAATTTGGATCTAGATGTTAGATCTACGGTTTATCTAATTTCAATTGATTTTTTACTTCCTTTGGCAGCTCTCTACTTTGTTGTTGTGGCTACCGTTGTTGCTTTAATTGGGCAGCATATTGTGAGAAAACTAATTATTTTATTTGGAAGGGTGTCGCTTATTATCTTCATTTTAGCCTTTACCATATTTGTTAGTGCAATATCTTTAGGTTGGTGCTAATCTCCCTGTTGTCTAGCTTGATAATATCATTTTCATTCATATATCATTTTACTTGGACAAAGTTCGAAACTGATGTTTTCTTCTGTTGATAGGTGGGGTTGGTATATCAAACATGATCGAGAAGATTGAAGCGCATGACCATATGGGATTTAAGAACCTTTGCAAATAGGCCAGACCAATAACTCGCAAACAAGTGCATTTGCATACCACTAAAACTTTACAATAAAACTATTTACAAACTGTTTCAAAAACAACCACTAAAAATATCTATACAATGTCCGGGCCTTCCATCTAGTTAGAAATGGTTTTGATATTATGAAAAGTATTTTAAACACAATACCATGACTTTATGGTTGTCCAAAAGACAAAACTATTAATGAGCTTTCTCGGGTCTTTTTTTTTTTTTTAAACAATTTATCACCTTTACCTAAGAGGAACATTGACCAGAGAATAGAAACTCTGAAAATATAAAAAATAAAATAAAATGGAGTATAAAAGATCTTTAAATGATTTCGTTAAATTTGGCAAATCGTTAACATAACAAACTTATTTAAATATTAAAAGAATATATATAGATCACATAGATATGGGCTTGGGGTACATTTCCATTTTTGAATTTGTGGTAGTGCTATATCAATTTCTAAAATTAGTCACATAAAAATTGTAATATTAATTTATATAAATAATTATTGTAATTTATATAAAAATAGTTCATGAATTACATTTGTCAATTTTGGTTATTATATTTGTATAATCATATATAAATATTATATATTAATGGGAGATGGTTGAAATTTAATAAATCTATTGATAAATAATATATTATATTAACAAATGTTTACTCATATTTTCAGTTAAAGTATTTTTTTTTTTTTTCTTTTTTGAATCCTATTTAAGGATTAGAATATATATTAAAATTTTTAATTACACCAAATTTTGTGAGTGAAGTCAATTGCACCATTCTAGGATAGCCGCCCAAATAATGGCGTACATACACTTTTCCACCGTCAACGTATCAAAATACAATTTTACTACTCACAACAAATTTCTATTAATAAATTTCGTTGTGAAAAGGGATATAATGGTAAAAAATTCATCGAAAGAAAGAGCAGAATGGTCAGTTGATATTTTGTATAAAAAAATCAATTTTTAAATTCAAGTGTAGGTAATCGTAGGGTTGAATGGTTGCCACGTGTTTTTTTTTAATTTCCTTATCCTTCTTCTCTCATTCTCTTCTCTTTCTTTCCTATTTTTTTCCCTTTTTCCCTTCTGGCCTTTCATTCTCCTCCTTTCTTTCCTCAATGTTTTCTTTCTCAGATCCGAACCAAAGCCAAAACGGCCAGTCCTCCCTCACTTCTCCTTTCTTCACTACGCCTCCCACTACCTCCCCTCCTTTGCTCCACCCACCTCCAATTCCCTCGCTCCACTTCCCCACCACCTTCCTTCTCTGCATCTCCCGCATAGCAGCACCAATCCACCCACTTCACTTCTCACTGCACAGCACACCTCTCACTTGCTCTTCAAAACCCACCCACTCACACACCGTCCACCCCTGCTCGCCGATTACCACCAGCAGCGCCGTGATTGTTATTCTGTATTTTCGGGTGATTGTTGTTCTGTATTTTCGGATTTTCTTGCTGCAGCTTGTTTTTTGATGTTGATGGAGTAGTCTGGAGTTTGTATTGAAGTTTGGGTGTTGTTTGATTGTTTATTTGGAATATTCTTGTGTTTGTTTTGGTCGGATTAACTCTACCAGTCACCGCCGTTCACTCCCCAACCCAGCATCCACACCACCTATTCGTTAAAAATCCCCACCCAGCTAACTTTCCCCTACTGATTTGGTTGGGTGGTGAGAAAATTGAAGACTTTTGTTTTAGAAGGGAATTTTGACGGGAATTGTTTTTGGGGAGGTTTTCTTTGCCGACAAAAATGTTATTCTTGAGTAAGTACACACTATAGACTGAGAAGAAAATGATTAATAAAAAAAAAAAAAAAAAATGAGAAGAAGTGATATAAGAAAAAGAGAAGAAAATGTAAATGAAAGGGAGAAGAAAGAGAAGAGGAGAAGAGATGGAAGAAAATGAAAAAGAAATAAAGGAAAAGAAAAGAAGGGAAGAATAAATTTTATTCTTAATTTATATTATATGATGGCATATTAATAATTTCATATTTAAAGAGTAGGTATATTAGTAATTGAAAATGACATAAAAATAATTTAAATTAAATGGTAAAAGGTATTTTTATCTTTGCAATAAATAACACTATAGTTAATAAAAATTATTAACAATGTTTGGATAATAAAACTATATTTTGAAACATTTTAGGTGGAAAAGTGTTATTAGTCTGTTATATGGGTAGGAAAAAATCGTTTATTGTATTTTAGATCTTGTTGATTAAAAGAAAAAAAAAAGGGAAAAAAATCTTGTTCTTGAAAAAATTTAGTTTTAATTCTTGGGTTTACGTTATTGGGGTGGGATGGGTTACCNCCCCCCCCCCCCCCCCCCCCCCCCCCCCCCCCCCCACACACACACACACACACACACACACACACACAGAGACCGTCCACCCCTGCTCGCCGATTACCACCAGCAGCGCCGTGATTGTTATTCTGTATTTTTGGGTGATTGTTGTTCTGTATTTTCGGATTTTCTTGCTGCAACTTGTTTTTCGATGTTGATGGAGTAGTCTGGAGTTTGTATTGAAGTTTGGGTGCTGTTTGATTGTTTATTTGGAGTATTCTTGTGTTTGTTTTGCTGGGATTAACTCTACCAGTCACCGCCGTTCACTCCCCAACCCAGCCTGCACACCACCTATTCGTTAAAAATCCCCACCCAGCTAGCTTTCCCCTACTGATTTGGTTGGATGGTGAGAAAATTGAAGACTTCTGTTTTAGAAGGGAATTTTGACGGGAATTGTTTTTGGGGAGGCTTTCTTTGCTGACAAAAATGTTATTCTTGAGTAAGTACACACAATAGACTGAGAAATAACACTTAGGTAATAAAAATTATTAACAATGTTTGGATAATAAAACTATATTTTGAAACATTTTAGGTGGGAAAGTGTCATTAGCCTATTATTTGGGTGGGAAAAAGTCGTTTATTCTATTTTAGGTCTTGTTGGTTAAAAAAGAAAAAAAGGGAATAAAATCTTACTCTTGAAAAAATTTAGTTTTAATTCTTGGGTTTACGTTATTGGGGTGGGATGGGTTACCCACACCCATCCCAATTCTAATTGGGCTTTAACGCCAACTCAATCCAATTAGAACCAGGTTGGATATGTGGTAACCCAAACTCTGATCCAGGGATGGAACTAAGAAGGGGCAGCCCCTACTGTACTGGTTTATTGAAAAAAATAAAAAATAAAAGGAAAGTTAATTCCGATTTTAAGTAACAAACAAAAATAAATTGTATGTTTTTGAAACAAAAATACACAACTTTAATTACAGGGTGATAAGATTACACAAACCAGAGTTGCATATTAAAGCAAAAGTAAGCTGAATTCATGGTGATGCCCATTAAGTTCATTACATAACAGCTTGAATACAGTCAAGACGGTTGAAGACGAACACTCTTTGGAGAATAAGCAGTGGTGCTATTTGCTACTGGGAGTGAGATGGAGAGATTGATATTGGCATTAACGGTGGTTTTCATGCCGGTACGCGCTGAAGCTTCCACAAGCTTTCCTGAACGGTGGCGCCCTCTGTTTACATGCCTCTCACAGTACTTGTGATCTGGAATAGCTTCTTTGCTACATCTCCATTTTTTCCCATCCGTTCTTCTGCATCTCCCTGGTTCTGAATCCAACCCATTCCTCATCTCCAAATTCATGGATCCAGACCGCAAAACTAGAGCCACAAAATATATTAACATTAATTAACTGGTTTAACAAAAATAATTAATTAATAAATATCTTGGACTTACAGCTAGGAAAGAGTTGATGGAGACCACCGCTGAGACTGCTAAAGGAATTAGCTACACTCTTCCATATTGGAATAACAAGATGGTAAGGCACAGGAAGCCCAGCTTCCAGGTACTTGTAGATAAGAGATTGGAGATGTAGCTCCTGAAGCTGAAAAATTGTGAAACCCCAAGATTTTGTGCTAGTTGATTTTTTACCAGACCCACTTCCAAGCTCAAGTCCTAGCCCAATTGGAGATGACTCTTCTCTTCCATTACACTCATTGTTCTCCATATTCCAGGAATGAAGTCCAATCCCTGAAAATTGAAACAAAAAAGTTCTGTTAAAGAAAAAAAAATGAAAGAAATTGAACAATGCCAAAGAATTTAAGAAATTTACCCAGGTCTGAAAAGCGTGCAATTTTGAAGGGTGGATGTCGGGGCTCCATTGCTTATATGTATTGGGGTCAAAGAAGAGATGAGAACGAGTATGGCTTGTAACAAAAAGAGGCTGTTAAATGCAGAGCAAGTGTCGTGTTGCAGCAGTAAGCGATATTTGAAGCCAGAGCTTTTGATTTAAAGTCTTCGAATGACGTAATGCGGCAGTGCGGTAGCATTGAAAAGGAGCTTTAGAGCGAGAAAGAAGTGATTGACCTCCACAATGTAGCCATAACCAAACTAGTTGTCTCCTAGTTCAATTCCTCTTCATCAGGGGGATGGAGAGAGAGAGAGTGTGTGTGTGTTATTAAAGTGAGCCTGCAAGTCTTCTGATATGTCAGAAGTCAGTCTGCAGCTGTGCGCGTACGCAGGGCGTGACAAGAAGATGTGGGTTCCACATGTTATAGCTGACTTTTATCACACAATTGAACATCATTAATTTTAAGAAAATTTCATTTTCAGTTAATTATTGTTGGAAAATTAAACTTTCAAACGTGATCAAGTGCTGGTTTAGTACGAAAGCGAGAGCTTTTATAGTAATTACTGAATTTAATACAAAAGGGAAGACTGAGATCAAGTGCTTTAATTTGTTCCAGTCAAAGTAAAACTATTCTAAATAGCAGGCAATAGGCACAGCAAGAAGTGGTTCAGCCATTTGTAAAGTGATGCCAAACTTGTCATCCATGTCCATGTTCTTCGGTGTAACTGTTTCAAGCTTCCAATCAAAAGAGTGAATAAGTGAACCCAATATTAAAGGTAGCATTCTGATTGCCAATGGCAAACCAGGACATATTCTTCGCCCTCCACCAAATGGGATCAGCTCAAAATTTCGGCCTTTGACATCAAGGTCCGACCCGAAGAATCTTTCAGGTACAAAAGAGTTTGGGTTGTCCCATGTGCTCGGATCTCTGCCAATAGCCCATGCATTCACAAAAATTTGTGAGTCCTTTGGGATTGTGAAGCCACCGACTTCTATGTCGTTTGAAGCTTTGCGGGGAAGTAATAACGGAACTGCTGGGTGCAACCTGAAAGTTTCCTTGACAATTGCTTGTAAGTAAGGTAAACGAGTGACGTCTGATTCCTCAACCAAGTTCCCTTTTCCAATAGTTTGCTCCAGCTCTAATTTTACTTTAGATAATGCTTCCGGATTGTGAAGAAGTTCTGCCAGTGCCCATTCCAATGTGCTTGAAGTTGTCTCAGTTCCGGCAGCAAATAAATCCTGTTACATATTCATTGAATTACATATCAGAAACAAAGGAAAAACAATTTTCTCCTCTCTAGAAATCAAAAAGTTCAAGAAGAATATATGTGTCACACTCTTGACTTATTGTTAAGATATTATTGGATTTTTATCTCTTGTCCACTTCAAATGATGGGCTCAAGAACCCGTCCTGAATCAAGAATAACGCCCATTTTTTGAGCTCCACAATGTCTTGACAATAAGCCTGGGTGTAACAGTATCAACTTTAATCGAGAAGAGTAATGGACAACAAAAGTGCTAACCACAAACAAATGTTTGATATTATTTCTATCAATCTCCTCACTGCGGTTTTCCGCTATGACCTCGAGAAGTATATCTAACATATCTTTGCTTTTTACATAATCCTGCCCTTCTTTTAGCTGCAAACGTTGATCAATCATGTGATCAAACAGCTCCAACATCTTTCCAAAATATACTGTCATGCGACTCCTCCTGCCTTGGGGGTCAATCTTTTTAAGCACAGGAAAAAAATCGGCCAAGTTAGGCTTCCCAGCCTCAACCATGATTCCCCAAACAAGCTCCTTGAACTCTCGTGCAATATCTGAATTGGGATCAGCCAAGTCAATTGAGAAAATAGTGTTTGAAATCAAATTAAGACTAGTACTGAAAGCCGCTTGGCCAATATCTACTGCTCTAGCCGCACGGCAACTTTCTTGAACATAAGCAAGGAGTTCTTGAACTTTCTTGCGACGTAGATCTTGATTGGCATCAAGTTTCTGACTAGTGAAAATATGTGAATTGCATATTTTCCTGAGATTTCTCCATGCACTTGAAACCGGTAACCAAGCCATACTGAATTCATGGTGTTGGTGGGCGTAAAGCGCGTCAGGAATGGTTCGGTTACAGAAATATAAATCATGAATCTGAAGGACTTGTTTGGCCATGTTATCTGAAGAAATGACTATTGTGGTCACCTGGCCAAGTTTCAAAGTCATTATGGGGCCATGAACCTTGGCAAGCCGGGCTAAGGCTTTGTGAGGTTTGTCACCAAGTCCTAAGAGATTCCCGATGACTGGAAAACTTCTGGGTCCCGGTGGAAGCTTTGTTGAAGTCGGTTTGAGTCGTTTGGCTATAGATTGTAGGGCTATAACCAACATCCATGTCAAGAGAAGACATAGTATACAGCTTATGACATCCATTTTTCTCTCTTAAAACCTCACAGAGACACAAGAATAGTTAAGGAATGTTTTCGGGCTAATTCCATTGACGTTCGTGATGATATATATATATATATAGACGACTGTTAGCCTCTGGGATTGGCCAGAATTATATTAAAAGAAAGAGGAAAGAAAAAGGAAACATGAAAAATAGCAATATTAAACATACAGTAACGGAGAGAATGGGATCACAAATCAAAGATTTGTTTATGTTATTCAACAATAACTAGTTATGGAATTCCGAGTTTCAACCAACTTTATCCCACGTAATACGTATTTTATTGTTAAGCTTACGAGGTATTTTGCTGATCTAGAGGTATTTACAACTTTTAAGGTCTCGTAATAATCACACATCATCGGTTACATTTATATAGTATTCATGATCTGAGATATCTTGACACTTTGTATCCAAATTGATGTGAACATTAGGCTTAGTTTGTGGAAGTTAACTCTACTTTCTAGTTCAATGATTTTGCGGAGTTGGGTTCGAAGGAAATACAATACGATAATATTGAAGTGTTAAAACTATGATGCCACTTATTTGAATCCACAGTAAGAGTTACGAATAATATTTTTCTGTTAAGTAAATAAAAAGTTTCTAAATATAATTAAAAAATACGTTGTTGACCAATGGCAAGTCTTTGATCCATGCAAGAATCACGTAACGTAATTAAAAAATATGTATAGTTGGTAAGCGGCAGCGTTTGTCCTCATGTGTGACTAGGTCCGCTCAATCCATAGGCAACAAAGACAGTTGTCTACGTTCCAATATTGGTGAAGGCTCCACCAAAACATTATAAATTGTACTGGTAAATATGAAATATAATTGTTGGTAGATAGGTAATTGTAATGGCCAATGAAGCTCAAATCGCTAATTTAACGGAAAATATGAACGGCTGGAGATTCTGGAGTTGGTGGGGGTGGGGGTGGGGGTGGGGGTGACTAGTCAATTTTTAAACACTTAGGGGTGTCTTTAAGAATAAGCCTAGCGAATTATCGATGAGTTAAATGGTGAATAATGGCATGCCTTGCTAGTAACTGTTAAAGCGTTATAGGTGTAGTGCCATAATTTAACAAGGGCAAAACGAACATATCACACTCGGGGAATATTCCAAACTTAATGTATATTCCCTAATTATTATTTTGGCTTGTATAATGGGATATATAATATAAAAATGGTACGGATCAAGGGAAAAATGATGATTTGATGTTTTGGATTGTATCCTAAAGTAAGAAATATCTTATCACCCTACTTCCTTATCAAGCAGATCCACCACCATGTGAGGACTCTTACACCAAGTGAGGAAACTCAATTCAAGGCAATCTCCTTCTCACTATATAAAAGACGACATACATCATGTTCATTCATATTGAAAACCCTCACAATTCAACTAAACACTTGACTAAGCACTTGATTATTGCTTATTTTCATCTCAAATATCTCACTCACTTGAGCGTTGAAGTACAAACGTTGACAAACCCGTCGATGTATCCTTGATCTCTATTTTCTCTATCGTGGGATCATTTCGACCTCATAATAGAGTTAGTTCTAGAGTCAATCAACCACACCAATCAACCTTAACTTGGATCATTTCGACCTCATAGTATGACCATTTCGACCCCACAATAGAGTTAGTTCCTAGAGTCAATCAACCACACCAATCAACCTTAAATTCAACCATCAGAAAGCCTTTTCAGGGATTCCGTGTTTGGTGCAAAATCTCATATCAATAATAGGTACGTAAAATTCTATATCAGTAATTGTTGAAAGCATCATAATGAACTATCTTAACCAATACACTATACCATTTCATGTAACCATAAACAAAGACCCTCAAGCAACCACACACTACGGCCAATCACGGTTTCAAGCAACCTTTTTTTTATGGATATTTATTTAGTTTTTTTTTTTTTTTTGGTTATATTTTTTAGTGATAGATGAAAGGTTGTTGTGTGTGGAACAAATGTGTTCGAAAGGAATTTGAGATTTGAAAGGTGGATGTAAAAAATTATTCGGCTTTGATACCAACTAATGCAGTGTGGATAGTTCTTCCAAAAAGAGTTTCTTAAGGTTACAAAGCCTATTAATCGAAATAAATCTTATTCTAATGTGGAAAACAACTAAAACAATAAATCTAATTTAATAAGGGTTACTAAAATAAAATTGGAAAACAAAAATAGGAAAGCCTAGATATAAGGAAATAATATAATCCCCTTTCCTACAGAATTTTACTAATATATGCTCTACATCAAGTAGTCTCAGACTTAAAGAACATAAATGTAGATTTGGATGAAGAAGACCAAACCTTTATTCTTTTAGGGCCACTTAAGAAATATAAATATCTAGTTATGACTTTGCTTTATAGAAAAGAGGATGTAGAATTGGAGGAAGTATTTGTTGCACTTTTATCTAATGAATTTATGGATAAAGTGAATGGAAGTGAAAAACAAGTGAAAGGGTTTGTGGTGAAAGAGAAGAATAAAAAGGGTAGGTCTAAGTCTATTAGAGGAGAGTGCCACTAGTATCACAAGAAAGGGCATTACAAGATGGATTGTCTTGAATCAAAGCTCACAATCTTGAGAAGGTGTAAGAAAAGGAGACGACACAAATAGCTAGTGTTGCAGATGAAGATTGAGATGGTATAGATAATTCATTTTCTTTTGTTGTGATGTGGCACTTGATACTCACACGTGAAAGTCAATTAAGGCTTAAGGGGCATTTCAGTCTTTCTGGCATCTTCAATTGACCTAATCTGTCTTAGGTCGTGCGCAACTCATTTCTTCCCATTTCTCTCTTGGTTAATAGAGAGAGAAAACGGTTAGAGATGCTGTGCTGGAAATCCGAAGAACGTCGATGGAATCAACGGTGAAGGTAGGTCTTAGCTGTCCTATTTGGTTTGCCCTTTGCCTTGCTGTATAAATTGATACTAATTTCTGCCTATTTGACGATGTATGAGTGGTGAGAGCATTTGGGTGTACGAGTGTAAAATCAGAGGGGTTTGTTTCGGGTTTGTGCCTTGTGTAAAAGGGGTGAGCCAAATCTCTGTAAGGTTTCTCATTTTCTCATAGTGGATCTTTTTCTTTTGCCTTGAAGAAGTGGATGTAGGTAATCTTTCAAATTACTGAACCACTATATATCTGGTGTTATCTTTCTTTCTCTTATCTTTATTTTGCTTAATCATTATTACTGTATACTTGTGGTGGATGCTTGGTTTGGTTATTGCATTTTTGTTCTGTGTTGGGTTTCATGTTACAACAATTGGTATCAGAGCTTTGTTTTCGAGCACCTAGGTCCTATTCTAGGTTGTGAGATCCAGGTTACGAATTTGCAGTAGTCTAGTGTTTAACTGTTTTCACAGTTGTCTATTCCCTTAACTTAGGGTTTCCAATTTGTCTCTAAAAATTGGGGCTTTTCTAATCTAAGTGTTTGGGAGGGTTAGAAACCTAGAAATGACTAAGTTTGAAATAGAAAAGTTTATAGGAGATAATGATTATGGGTTATGGAAAATGAAGATGAGGGATGTCTTAGTTAAAGATGGGTTGTCTGCTACCTTAGAAGGTAAGGATAGTTTACCAGAGACTTTGTCTGAAAAGGAAAAGAAAGAACTGGTATATAAGGCTTACAATTCTCTAATTCTAGGGTTAAGAGATGAAGTCCTAAGAGAGGTTAAGAAGATGAAGACACCAGCAGAGATTTGGGAAAAGTTAGACTCCTTGTATCTATCAAAGTCTTCACCTAATAGGTTAGTTTTAAAACAGAAATTTTTCAGTTTTAAAATGGATGAAAACAAAGCATTAGGTGACAATATAAATGATTTTAGGAAACTAGTACAGGATTTAGAAGGTCTCAGTGTTACCATTGAGGATGAAGATCAAGTTGTGATCCTTTTTAATTCTTTTCCCAAAAGTTTCTCGAACTTTGTTGATACTCTTAAGTATGGTAGACAAACCCTTAAACTAGATGAAGTTGTAGTTGCCATTACTACTAAGGATGTTGAGTTTAGAAAGGAGGGTAAGTTAGATGGAGAAGGTCTGAATATCAGGGGTAGATTTGAGAAAAAGGTGTCAAAGAAAGGTCATTTTAGAAATAAATCTAAGTCTAAATCAAAGTTTGTCAGGAAGTGTTTCCATTGTCATAAAGAAGGGCACTTTAAAAGAGATTGTCCAGATAGAAAGAAAAGGTCAGGGGAGAAAGAGGCTAGTGGCAGTGTTGATATAGTCTCAGATGGGTATAAAAGCTCTGATGTTCTAGTTGCTTCCGATACGGAATCTGAATTTGAGTAGATTTTGGACTCTGGTTGCACTTTCCATATGACTCCAAATAGGAGTTCACTGATAAACTTTAAGAAAATAGAATCTGGCAAGGTTCTAATGGGGAATAATGCAGTGTGTAGTGTTTTAGGCATTGGGGATGTCAGGTTAAGTCTTCATAATGGCAGTTTAAGAACCCTTTCAGAAGTTAGGTACATACCTGAGTTGAAAATGAACCTTATCTCCCTAGGTAGCTTAGACTCAAATGGTTTTAGTTACAAGGCTTAAGGTGGAGTGCTTAAAGTTACTAAAGGGTCTTTAGTGGTTATGAAAGGAGAGAAAAAGAATGGTTTGTATGTCCTAAATGGATCCACTGTTGTTGGAACAGCAGCAGTAACATCTCAGAAACCTAACAAGACTTCCATTTGGCACAAAAGGTTGGGACATGTTAGTGAGAGAGGTCTAATTGAGTTAAGTAAGCAGAATGCCTTAGGAGGGGATAAAATAGAGACGCTAGATTTCTGTGATCACTGTGTTTATGGGAAGATGAGCAGAATTAGGTTTAGAGTGGGAAACCATTGTTCTAAGGGCATTTTAGACTACATTCATTCTGATGTGTGGGGGCCAACCAAACATCCATCTTTGGGAGGATGTAGGTATTTCATTAGCATCATAGATGACTTTTCTAGGAGGGTGTGGATTTATTTTTTGAAAACTAAGGGAGAAGCCTT